AATGTGCCAGCAATGCCCCTCTGCCATTTACATTGGCCAAACCGGACAGTCTCTATGTAAAAGAATAAATGGACACAAATCAGTCGTCAAGAATTATAACATTCAAAAACCAGTCGGAGAACACTTCAATTTCTCTGGTCACTCGGTTACAGACTTAAAAGTGGCAAATCTTCAACAAAAAAACTTCAAAAACAGACTCCAACGAGAGACTGCTGAATTGGAATTAATTTGCAAACTGGACACCATTAACTTAGGCTTGAATAAAGACTGGGAGTGGATGTGTCATTACACAAAGTAAAACTATTTCCCAATGTTTATTTCCCCTCCTCCCGCCCCCCCACTGTTTCTCACACGTTCTTGTCAACTGCTGGAAATGGCCCACCTTGATTATCACTACAAAAGTTTTTTTTTTCCCTCTCTCCTGCTGGTAATAGCTCACCTTACCTGATCACTCTCGTTACAGTGTGTATGGTAACACCCATTGTTTCATGTTCTCTGTGTATATAAAATCTCCCCCCTGTATTTTCCACTGCATGCATCCGATGAAGTGAGCTGTAGCTCATGAAAGCTTATGCTCAAATTTGTTAGTCTCTAAGGTGCCACAGGTACTCCTTTTCTTTTTTTGCGGATACAGACTAACATGGCTGCAACTCTGAAACCAATCTTTGACTGAATAGTTTTCTTACTTACATCGAGTTACCAGCATCTCTAGCCCTCAAGACTATGGGATCCAACTTTCACAGGCTCAGAAGGTGGTTAGCCTATGGCCTCTCAGCGATGGATAACTAAAATATCTGTTTTGGTTTCCTTATATTACCCAAAGCCTATTGGCTCTGCTTCAAGAGCCAGGAAGACTTCCTGCAGTGCAGATTCTGCCTCCTGGGATGATTGCTAAACTGTTTCTCCACCGCTTGTTAGCTTGATGACTTTGTTTACCTTATATATAAATGTACTTTCATTGTCCTCTACCTATAATCAAGTCAGTCAGATAGATAAATACACATTCCTTTGTTTAGGGCAGGCTGCCTCCAAACATAATGCACTTCCTCCAAACATACTGTCAGATTGTATTTCCAGCACACATATATAACTTTTTGTATGCATTCTGTACATACATAACACAATGATTTTCGGGACCAGTCTGTCACCAGTTTACATATGATACCTTACATGATACCTTTTAGATACATATGACAACAGTGTGTTGAGGGTAATGAGTGTCAGGTCTAGTATGAATTACATTATGGTGGGCCCTCTGCCAGTTGGCATTGAAAGGCTTTTAGGGTCACAGAAGGCTTGGCTTGTTAGTTCAAACTATGCTTATGCTTTCAGCTTTGCAGGTCTCTGTTCAGTCCCCAGTATGTTGACCAACATGGTGGTCATCACAACAGGATAAATTTTTCCAAAACACCTAAGTGACTTAGAAGCCAATGGGACCTAGCTTTCTAAATCACTTAGGCACTTTTGAAAATGTTATCCTTAAAAATTGTCTGCAATCGTAAAAAGAATAGTACAAGATACTGAAGCTTTTAGGACGAGATTATTTCCACTCTTCCCTATCTTGTGACCCTATGCAGGGGCCAGGATCAATCACAGTTATTGTAGCTGGCATCAGGACTGCATGAGATAACTGTCCATGATGGTGGTAATTCCCCCAAAAGGAGGTGGAAGGGGCTGGAGGTGCATAGCCATCAACCCGGGAAGTCAAATGGAGGAAAGGGTGTTGAGCTCCTTGCAGAGGATGCTTCATGTGTAACAGAATTGTGCCCTAGCTCACTCCATGTACTTCTACATTAATTTTAAAACTAACTTCTCTCTGTTTTTCTCTAGAGCCCCTGACAATCAGAGCCCTACCATAGGTCCTGAACATCAACCCACTCTAATTCCTTTGCTTTACAGCCCACTCTTAAGCCATTTCCTTTACAACTGAAAAAGGATGGATGGATTCATTTCAGAGTCCATCCATGCCTCATCTTAACAGACTGGAAGAACTGCTTCTGAGTGGCTCAATCTCCTGCCAGCTTTCCTTTTTTTAAAAAAAAAAAATTTGTGGAGGGGTTAATTTTAAAGGGTGGGGGATGGGTGGAGGTGGATGTCAGTGCTATGAATGTCATTCTTCCTATGGTGGAAAATCTTTGCATCATTTCCTAAAGATGGTTAGATTCTGGATTCACAAAATCTTCTCTGGATTTTGTTTCTTTAGCCATGTCTACACTGCACAGTTTTGTCTGCAAAAGGCAACTTTTGTTGACAAAGCAATGGAGGTATACACATTATAATGCTCCTTCCACTGACAAAATTCTCAGTGTAGACTCTGTGCTTGGTTTTGTCACTGTAAATGGCCTCCAGGAGGTGTCCCACAATGCCCATCCTGACTGCTCTTCTCAACAGTTTGAATGCTGTGCTCCTCTCACTTTAGAGGTCTGGGAATTTTTGAAATTCCTCTTCCTATTTGCTTGTCCTGGGAGCTCACATCATATCTTCCCAGGTGACCATGGTAGTTCCGTGCAGCAGACGCTCTCCCGCTTGGACTAGAGCTGAGTTGTTGGATCTGCACATCTCGGTACCCCAGTCACTCCACCCCTTCAGACAGCTTCCAAAATGATAACTGGACTTATGCACAGCTCTGCAAGCCTATACTGTCCTTCACTGTTATATCCCTTCCCACCGAGCCTTTTGTGTATGGGAATTGGTGTTTAAAAGAAACAAACTCTCTGAAAGAGAACCAATCTTTATTTGTGTCCTACATGTTATGATTGATGCTGGTAGTAATACATAGATGCAGTTTAATCATTTGTTTAGTACAAATCCCACTGACGAATCATCACAATTTTTAGGCTAAACAAGATAACTGGAGTTATTGACGCATGGCAGACTGCTGTATAGAAATACACATTAGTGGTGCTCATTATCAAAAGGTTGCCTCAAAGCCTCCCTGATTCTAATATCCCCCCACTGTGCCCCTCTAATAGTTTTGGTATCTGACTGCTCAAATCGGCAGCCAGGCAATCTGCCTCAGCACTCCACCCCTGGGGAAACTTTTCACCATTAGCCTCACAAATATTATGGAGTGTGCAGCATGCTGCTTTGACCATGGGAATGTATCCTCATTTAGGTCTAACCTGCCTTAAAGGCAGCACCCAGGGTGCTTTGAATCTGCCAAAGGCACATTCCATGGTCATTCTGCACCTGCTTAGCCTATTGTTGAAGTGCTCCTTGCTGCTGTCTAGGTTTCCCATGTAAGACTTCATGAGACATGGGAGTAAGGGTATTCAGGGTCTCCCAGGATCACTATGAGCAGTTCAGCATCCCCCACTGGAATCTTCTGGTCTGGAAAAAAAGTCACTGCTTGCAGCTTTCTGTACAGGCTGGTGTTCCTGAAGATGCGTGCGTCATGCACCTTCCCTGACCACCCTGCGTTGATGTCCGTGAAATGCCTGTGGTGATCCACAAGTGCCTGCAATACCATAGAGAAGTACCCCGTTCTATTGATGTACTCCATAGCAAGCTGGTCTGATGCCAAAACTGGGATATGCATGCTCTCTATCGCCCCTCTGCCATCAGGGAAACCCATTTCCCCAAAGCAATCTACTATTTCATGCACATTGCCAAGCATAATGGTCCTTCATAGCGGGATGAGATTAACGGTTTTGCACACTTGCGTTAATGCAACCCCAATGGTCGACTTCCCAACTCCAAACTGATTTGCGACCGACTGGTAGCAGTCTGGAGTCAGCAGCTTCCACATTGCAATCGTCATGCGCTTCTCCACTGAGAGAGTAGCTCTCATGTTGGTGTCCTTGTGCTGCAGTGCTGGGGTGAGCTCTGTAGACAGTTCCAGGAAGGTGGCTTTCCACATCCGAAAGTTCTGCAGCCATAGCTCATCATCCCAGCCCTGCATAATGATGCAATGCCACCACTCAGTGCTTGTTTCCTGCACCCAAAAGTGACGGTCCACCGTGTGTAGTTGCTCAGTGAATGCCAGAAGTAACTTGGTGTTGTTTCTTTCCATGGCACACAGCAGGTCAGGCAACTCTGGTTCCTGTTCACATTGGGTTCTCATGATATACTGTGTTCATAAGAGTGACCACAATGGTAGAGAACAGTGTGGGATCCATCCTTTCAGACAGAGATGGCGGGTGCACACTAAACAGGGACCATTGAAAAAATGCCACTAAGCACAGTGGGAAGCCCATGAAATGCTGGGACAGAAAAAACTGCATCATGAGATGTTGAGCCTGCACCCATGATGTGCTGCAATCCACTCCGCCTTTCCACAAGTCCAAGCTGCAGAAGATGGTGAGCAGCATAGTGGGATAGCTACCCACAGTGTATTGCTCTCACCGTCGATGATAGAGCACTAAATGTGGATGCAGTCTGCCAACAGAGAGAGCATAGTGTGAACATGCACTAGCAATGTAATTATAGCACTTTTTGATTATTGGCATAACTTTTGTTGACAGAAGTTTGTAGTGTAGACCAGGCCTTAGCCAGATCCCCTCAAGTGAGAAGGCTGCATCGCTGGCTTTCAGCAGGGCGCCACTTCTGCAGCAGGCGGTTTCCTCCCAAAATACGCACTGAGAACAGGAGAACAGCAATGTAATCAAAGTTTTCTCCAAAAGGGTGCAGAATATCATGCTGGCCCACCAACATTTGTTTGATTGTACCATCATGTCATTTTCTGCAATGCTACGTTCCTTGCCATAGGTGGGTTTGTCATCAGACCATGACAGACTGGGCCAGATTCAATTCTTGTGTAAATCTACCAAAGCCAGTCTGAGACAGGGAATTGTAAGACCCAAGTCCTTTGAAACTGCTCTAACCTTAAGGATATTTTTGCAGTGTAGACCCTTTGTTCTTCTGGCCTGGCAGATAAGAGCAAGGCCTGTGATACAGCAGGTGACTGATCAAGAACAAAATGGGATCCCTTAGCCTATCTGCAACTGTCAGACTGAATGGAAGTGGCATCTCTTAAAGATCATTTCCTTTACTTTTTACAGGTCATCACCTTGGGTTGTTTCTCTAAGCTGAGACGTGTGGACAAGAAAGGGCAATGATGGGGCAAAAAAGTGGACCTTTTTCTGGGAACAAACCCAGAATTTTCATGAAAAAACCAAACAGGTAACATTTCTTGGTTTCAACTTTTCAACACACGGGGATTATTGTTCATTCTCTTCTGTCCTCATTTGTATATTTTGGAATATTTTGAGGAATTATGGTAGCAGTCCCTATTACTAAGGTTTCCTAACATTTCCTGTTATAACCCCGTTTTCAATTGCTTATAACTGTGCCGAACTTTAACCATTCAGGCTGAAACTTTCCATCCTTGGACTTTGTCTCAAGTTGAATATTTTTGGGAAAGTTTCTGCAAAATCATTGCAGTTTTCTTTATGAATACAATCTAATAGTTTTAGTAATGTTAACCAGCTTTCCTTTTTAAAGGGCTGTAGTGCCTTTATGATTAGGAGCATGGACTTCATATTTGGCAGGGGACAGTCCTACGGTCAGAGAGTTGCCTGCATAGTTTTCCTGCATAAGTAACCTGTGCATCCTTAATTCAACTTTCTTGTGTGTGTTCATTTTGATTCAGTCTTTTATTACATCATCACAATCTTTAATTGCGTGACCATGCAACCTCTTCTTCATTCAGTACACAGGATAGACGGTGCTCTCCAGAATGTAAAATTTTCATTTGCTCAAAAATGTTCACCAGATCTATTAAACATGCTACTATTTTTAAAGTCCCTGTGCTCCAGAGGAAGAGGAAAAGTCTAAATTCTTACTGTTTTTTGCATATGATAACTAAAATTAATTCCACTCTTGGTATATAAAACAAAGTGTTCTTATCACTCCAATCCTAGCCAATGTACCATTTCTTGCTGCTTCTCCTTTTAGACATATCTCAGGTTTCATCCTCATCAGTTTGTAGATTCAAAAGGCAATTCTGTTTCAGCTGATAGTAAAACTGGGGGGTGAGGGGGGAATCACTACAATAGTCATAGTTTTGTACAGTAGTTTGCATGGAGTTTTGCTGGGTACAAGAATGCTATTTCTACGCTCTGATGAGTGAAAGCCATTTTAACTGGGAAAAGGTGTTCTAATTTTGCAATGCTAGAGAGAAGTCTAGACATTGCTTTTTCTGGTGTGAGGCTATTTTAATTTCCCTTAAATAATCAGAATTTGGACTCCTTTTGGAACTAATCATATTCATTAGTTTGCTCTGTATACACGCTCCACAAATATCAGGTCATGCTCATTATTTAATCCCCGCAGCTGATAACCCACTGTTCATCATAAGAGCAAAATAGGTAGTGCAATGATGTGCCTATTATGTCCTCTTATGTGATTTTTCAAGACTCCTAGACTTTAAGATCAGATGGGACCATTATGATCATCTAGGCTGACCTCCTGCACAATGCAGGCCACAGAATCTCACCCACCCACTCCTGCAATAAACCTCTCACCTATGTCTGAGCTATTGAAGTCCTCAAATCATTGTTTAAAGACTTCAAGGTGAAGAGAATCCTCCAGCAAGTGACCCATGCCCCATGCTGCAGGGGAAGGCGAAAAACCCCCAGAGCCTCTGCCAATCTGCCCTGGAGGAAAATTCCTTCCTGACCCCAAATATGGCAATCAGCTGCACCCTGAGCATGTGGGCAAGACTCACCAGCCAGATACCCAGGAAAGAATTCTCTGGAGTAACTCAGATCCCACCCCATCTAACATCCCATCACAGGCCATTATTTCCATCCGCTAAGTTAATTTTCTTTTAGAGCATCTAGGGATAGCTTGCCATCACAAATGCTTTCTTCCTCTTGTTTCTGGGCCTTCTGAGAGCTAATAAAAACTATTTAATCTATGGCATCAACTTTTCAATCATTTAAACTTTACAGGCCATCTGATTTAAATTTTGTTTATGGACCTCAACTCTGAAACTAATCACTTTTCATTGATTTAATGTAACAGATTCAGAATGTGACTATCCTTTTGTTCTTTGGCAAGATGTAAAGTTGTGAACTTGCAAGCTGTTCCTCACAGGCCTGTGCCCATGTGGGTCTGATTTCAATGGGCCTTGCACTGATGTAGGGGTCTTTCTGTGTGGAATTGGCAGGGTCCGGGCCTAAGATTAAAGTTCACCCACACCTGGCTACTTTTGTTTTGGATGGAGAAAAATCAAGCTATGGGGGCTTGGGCATGTTTTTAGATATTTTATTATTAGTTCTGGAGCAATGTATTGTTGATCATATCAGTGTTTTTATGTGCAGGGGATAACATAACATTGGTGTGTACTACAATGCTCGCATCCTTAACTGTCTTTTCCTACACATCAGTCCTGCCTCTTGGAATCAGAGAATATATCAAGAGCAGGTCCTTTAAAACACGGGGACAGGGTTGCCACTGTAGATCCAGGGCTGGTTTTGAAAGATACATAATGCTTAAAGAAATCCACTGGCCAGATACTTAACTGGTGTAGATGGGTGTTCCTCCTTTGACTTCAGCTACACTGTTCCCCCTGGCCCTTCAAACTGTATAAAGGTAAATGCTTTAAAAAGACTTGAAATAGTCAAATTGGGTGGCCTGAAAATATTTGGCATAAGGAGCAGAACCATTATTTTTGTACAGCGTGCGTAATGTCAACCATAAACACCAGAGAGACTTGCGCCCTGCTGCCCCTTTTGACTTTATTCTAGTGTGCATCCAATTTGCTCCCTGCCCCTAAAAACTGATACGCAGCAGGAATAGCAGCAAATACCAAATCACTATAAAAATCTGTCAGAGTCCAAATTCTGGAACTTGGACCATATCCCATTAGCTTGTATATAAACTTGGGTTAAGACTGTTCACTTTGTTTCAGACTAAGAGAGGTTTTTAGAAGAATGCCTATCTCAAAAGTTGTTTAAATATAGAGTAGTAAACAATTTATAAGAACAAATTGGCTGAAGGGGGACCTCACTGCTTCTTCTCATACTAGATCTTATCACTGTGGTCTGGCTCAGTGGCAGTATTAGCAACATTTCTTAAACCGTGTAATGCAGTTTAAGATGTCCTCATTATTCTGTGACTTGTTATTCACAGGTATTCAAGCTAGTTAAAAGAAAATCTGCTGGTCCTCAGATGTCTATCCTAGTCAGATATATGACCCATAGAACAACACGGTGTTAGGTCAGGCCATATTGTGTTTCTTGAGACAACGTAATACAAGATGAGGGTGATAATACTTAGCATTTACATACCGCATTGCATTTTCAAAGCACTGTGCGAGCACTGTCCTATACATCTCAATCTGATACAATCTCCTTGCGATGGGGTATATTCCTCACACTGGCCCCTGAAAGGCAAATTAGGCCAGGCAGGCCTAAGTAGGGGAGAAATGTAGGCTACAAGGAGGCCACAAATGAGAAGCAGGCTCAGCTGGGAGGAACAGGAGTGGCCTGCATAAAACCCAGGAGCTGAGGGTTGCAGGAAGGGTGGCTGCAGTTATTCCCTGAGAGGAGGAAGTTGAGAGGCTGGTGAACCAAGAGAAGGTGGGAGCCAGTTATGTAGGAAGAAGCCGAGGGAAACAGCAGCAAGGGCTAAGATGATACGGGCCTTGGCTGCACGTTATAGGGTCCTGGGGCTGGAACCCAGTGTAAAGGGTGGTCCTAGGTTCCCCTACCAGCCACTAGCTAGTGACACAGGGTGTTGGAGATGTCATCCGGACAGCTGACAGGAGGGCCAAGCCATGGACTTGGAGCTGCAGCTTCTAGTCCGTGGCTTGGCCCTCCAGCCATGTCACTGAGTTCCTCCCCTTCTAGGGAAATCATAGTCCTTCCAGACCAGGAGTGGGGCAAATCTTCCTCTTCTCCACTGCTTTAATAAAAACACCAAGGAGCTTGCAATCTGCACAATACCTAACAAAAATAAGTGACAACACAAAGCAAAGGGTTGGGGAAAGGAAGATAAAGGTGAAATATGTTTGTCATGTAAGCATCTTGTTTGAGCTGTTCTTTAAAATTAGTTCATTTGGGGTTAAGGTTGGTGATGACAGATCAAAAAATGTTCTCACTGAAAAAAAAATTTGTTGCGATTTCTTTGCAAAATTAAAAATAGTGGTTTTCAGTTTGTCCTAGGCTGGAACCTTCAAGATTTTGACTACCGTGAACACCAGTAAAAACCTTTCTGACAGCTCATCAGGAGATTTTAGAACTATTTTATTTTATTCTAATTTGCACTTTTATTAGGCTGAGTGTTGACCTATATATATATATATATATATATTTAAAGTGTTGAGTTTTAATAATTGTTATGTCATCTAGAAGTTTGCAGCAGGTGGTTGCTTAAAAACAGCGGAGTGGTCATTAACACGGACCTTGGTGTGTTCTTAGGCAAGAGGCCAAATTGAGTGACCGTGAGCCAGTTAATACAGCATAGCTGAATCTGTCCTACTGTGAGAAGCCAGGGAGATGAAACAGTACCTAGGAGTCTATTTATACATGTGTGCAAGTCCTATAATCAGTGGGAGATCCCTACATGTATGAAGAGGTGATTTATCTCTTTTAAAGTATCTGAGGCATTATAAGGAAGAGAATGAAGCTCAAAGCAAGCCTTCCCCCAAGCTCAAAAAAAAAGGGTGGGGAGGGAGGAGAGAAGCAATGACTGTTATCAGTACCTTTTCCCTTTTAAGTTTACCTTTTTGGTTCATTGTATCTTAGTTCACATAGGGAAGATGTTTATGAGTCTACACGAAGAGCAGTATAAATTTGAGCCCTCAAAAATCAGCAAATCCTGATGAACAGATGGCGATTGTTTAATTAGGATGACACACTGACACGGTCTCTACAGTCATAGCTAAAACAAGCACTGCTCTCATGATGAGTAAAAATAATCCCTATGACTTGTGTCTTGAAAGTAAAAGTTGTAAACAGTAGTCATCTGGAATTTCAATTCTCTTTCTTCTTTAGACTTCATCTTTTTTCTCAAAGGAGGCCGTCAGAGGGGAAAAAAGGGATCAGCAAATACCATGTGCTGCATTTTTAATTAATGTACTCTCATACCACCAGACT